AAAGCGAGGCCCGAGCATCTCGCTGCTCTTCCCCCCCCGGGCTCCGAAGCGAGGCCTGAGCGGCTCGCCGCTTGGGTCTCGCTGCTCGCCGCTTGGGTCTCGCTGCTCGCCGCTTGGGTCTCGCTGCTCTTCCCCACCCCCCGGGCTCCGAAGTGAGGCCCCACCTCCAAGCGGCGGCGGCGAGGGAGTTCGCAGAGCGTTCCCTGCACATGTGCAGGGGACGCTCTGTCAGTTTTGGGGGAATTTAAGTATCCCCCCGATATTTTTTTAAAGGTTTTAGATTTTTGTGCACACCTGGGGACTGCCCCAAGTGTGCACAAACAACTCCCTCCCCCCCAGGTGCCCCCGATGTGCGGAAATAAGTATCCGCACGCAGGGGGCGACTTCGGAATTAGATATATAGATAGTTAAAGGTCTGGACTGCAGCAGGCTACTATATCTAGTATGCAGCCCTACAAGTTACTCAAAGGGGAGGATGGGAAGGGGCAAAGGTACTGGTATGTGTCCCTTTTTCCTGCATGAGAGACTTTAGGTGAAGTTGATGTCCAGAGATTATTGTTCCGCTTTCATGAATATATTTTTTCATTCAGTGGTATTATATTTACATCCGCTCTTTACTATTTTTTTTCCTGCTTGAGTTTATCCCATGTAAATATCTAAAAATGATGAATTCTTGTGGCAACAGCATACAGCATAACAATCCTGATTTCCTTTTATGGAGATATTTTAAAATCCATATTTCCCCCTTAGGAGAATGTTTTGAACGGGCTGAGTTCTGGGGTTGGAGTGGAACCATCAGTCACAGGGCCTGCTCAGAATCACACTGATCTGCTCTCCCAACATTTTAATTAAAGGCAGCCCCCTGAGGGGGCTGCCAGTTTGCACGGGCCATGATAGGAGAAGGGGATGCTTAGCCCCTTCCTGCTTTTGCTATCTTCCCGGTATAAACAGCCTTCCCAAGCTGCTGTTTCCTGCAGAGGGAGGAAAAGAATACAAACATGACGTGAGTAACCACATATTCCCATGCAGAGGTAAGGAGCTTAGCTTTGGGAATGGGATTTAGGTCAGGGAAATAGCAAGGGGTAAAAGGTTAAATGCAACCCACAACCACAATTAAGCAAATTGGCAGTGCTGTGGGAAGACCCACAGTGCAGCTTTAAACAGAATTACACATTTCTAAGTCCACTAAGTCCTGGCTGTGGTGGCTCAAGTGGTTAAGACGCTGAACTGCAGACCGGAAGGTCAGTAGTTCAGCAGTTAGAGACCCGAGTGCCGCATGACGGAGTGAGCTCCCGTCTCTGGCCCCAGCTCCTGCCAACCTAGCAGTTCGAAAGCAAGAAATTGCAAGTAGATAAATAGGTACCATTTCAGTGGGAAGGTAGCTGCGTTCCGTGCGCCTCAGCATCTAGTCATGCCAGCCACATGACCACAGAAATGTCTTCAGACAGCGCTGGCTCTTCGGCTTGGAAACGGAGATGAGCACAGCACCCCTAGAGTCAGATTTGACTGGCTTTCGAGCAAGGGAAACCTTTACCTTTACTAAGTCCACTGAAGTCAGCTCTGCTTAGAATTGCACTTCCGTGGCTCAGTGCTGGAGCACATGCTTTGCAGACAGAAGGAGTGATCCTAAGAATGGTCTACTTAGAAGTAAGTCTCATGTTCTTCAGTGAGGCTTACTCCCAGGAAAGTGTTCTTAGGATTGCAGGCAAGAGAGCCCATATTTCAGTTCCTGATCTCTCCAGTTAAAGGATCTCAAGCAACAGGCATTGGGAAAGGCCTCTCTCTGGTTTGAGACCTTGGAGAGCTGCCACCAGGCAGAGCAGGCAATATGGAGTCAGATGGTTTGCAAACTGTGAGTGGGGACCCAAACATTTGTGTGTGTGTGTGTGTGTGTGTAGGGGGAGTATTTTTGAATTTTGTTTCTCTTATACCCTGCCTTGCTCCCCAGCAAGGGGCCCAGAGTGGCTTGAATTGTTCTCCTCTCCTCCATTTTATCCTCATGACAACCCGGCGAGGTAGGTTAGCCTGAGAGACAGTGACTGGTCCAAGGTCATCCAACAAGCTTCCCTGGCAGAGTGGGGGTTCAGACCTGGGAATCCCAGATCCTTGCCTGACACACCACCACACTTGCTCTCCTGCTCTTTCACAAGTGGGTCACGAGACCAAAGGGTTGGAACAGGGTGGGCATGGGGAGGAGGCTGGGGGAGACTCAGGGGCAAGTCTGACCCCACATTACATGCAGAGATGACTCTGAAATACAGCCCATTGCTCAATGATGTCATAGATGATGATGGTGATGATGATGAGCCATCAAGTCTCAAATGGCTCCTGGCGACCCGATGATGATGAGCCATCAAGTCTCAAATGCTTCCTGGCGACGCAATGTTCCCTCTAAGCTGTGGAGTCTTGTGAGCAAAAATTCTGCTTTGTGAGCTACTGGCATAAAAGTTGTGAGCAAGCGATTTGGCTACTGCATAAATCAGTTTGTTCTGGAGCCATCCTCCCTGAGCTGAGACAAAAATCTGTGAGCCGGAGGCGAAAAAACTGTGAGCTAGCTCACACTAACTCAGCTTAGAGGGAACACTGCTTGTGGGGTTTTCAAGGCAAGAGATGAGCAGAGGTGGTTGGCCATAAATACCGAAATGAAGAAATAAAATATAAATGTGCTCATTGTTAACTGAAATGAAGTTCTTGTGTTTTATATTGGGAAAGGGGGAAGTAGCATGTCATTATTCTGCAAAAACTGGGTCCCACTCTGAAAAGTTGGGGAGCCTTCAGAAAAACAAAATGGTGGTCTGACCTTCATGTGCCGCATCTGATGAAATCCTGGTCTTCCTCTGTGCCACAGGCTATCCCAACACCAAGCCAGGTTGTACTTCAAGGTCTTGAGTTGGCTGGTTTCTAGACAACTTCCTTAGCTCTTCCATTCTGTGCCCCCCTGCAGGTATGTCAGAAGTCTGGTGAAATCTCTCTCCTCAAACAGCAGCTGAAGGAATCCCAGTCGGAGCTGAACAGCAAGACCAACGAAGTGCTCAACCTGAAGGCCCAGCTGAAGGACATCCGGGGGAAGATGGAGCTGCTGGAGATGAAGATTCAGGACCTGGAAGACTCGCTGCGCTCCAAGGCCATGGAGCTGGAGGTCTGCGAGAATGAGCTCCAGCGCAAGAAGAACGAGTCGGAGCTCCTGAGGGAGAAGGTGAACCTGCTGGAGGAGGAAATTTCGGAGCTCAGGACAGATCTCACCATCCTCAGGGAGGAGAGGAAATGCGAGGTGGCCTCCATAGGCCCAGAAGGGAGCATGGCAGAGGACATGCAAACCCTGTGGAGGGAAGTGGAGAGGTTGAAGGCAGAGCTCCAGGAGGAACACAGCAACAATGAGCAGATGACAGTGGGCTTCCAGCAGGAACGGCAGACTTGGAAGGAGGAGAAGGAGAAGGTGATCCAGTACCAGAAGCAGCTGCAGCAGAGCTACTTGCACATGTACAAGAGGAACCAGAATCTGGAGAAGATGCTCCAGCAGCTGGCTGCAGGGGAGGATGGCAAAGAGCCCCTCGAGCTTGACCTACAGGGTACAGATGTCCCTTATGAGGACATTATCGCCACTGAGATCTGAAGCATGTTGCATCCTCTGCCCACAGTGGAGGAGATGGGTCTCTCTCAACTGGTGGGGTGGGGGTTGTACAGTCCAGGAAAGGCACCTGTCTGTTGGCTGAGGTCCTTGCTTGGCCAAGGTGGATCTCCAGCTGTTGTCATGCCTTGGCTTTTTGCTTGTTTTTTTGTCAAGCACTCTCCTCTCCCCAGTCACACCCAATGCTTCTGACTGCATCATGTTGAGAAAGGAGAAGGGGTGGTTTTCCGTAAGCTGACTGCTCAGACAGAGTGGCGTCAACACAGGGACTGCTTTGCTACAGAATATGTAAGAATCCCCGTGCCAGGTAGAATAGGGGACTCCCTCTTACCTGCCGGCCAGGTACCAGATTGCCAACTGGCTGGTAGAGGAGGGAAGAGCAGCCCATTGCCACCCCCTGTGGTGCTCGGAGATGCCCCTGCAGCTCCCTTGCTACTGCCAAGCCACAACACAAGGACTGTTCATGCTCCAAGACCCTCCCGATTGTTGTGTGGGAGGACTGTGGAAGAAGGGCAGCCTTTGATCCGTCGTGCCTCTGATTGTGACACAGAGAGAGAGAGAGCGCTTGGTGAGACCACATCACAGGTCCTTGAGGTATCCTCTTGAGCCTGATTGGCTGAAGACATGCAAGTAGCTTGATTTCCTTAAATGAGGCGGAGAGGTGCAAGAGGATTCTGGGATATTCTGGAAAACCAATGGGGCTGGGGTTGTGACTCCGCAGAGGGAGACACTGGCGAACCACCTGTGCTTCTCCCTTGCCTTGCAAGCCCATTGCTGAAGTCACCATCAGCCAGTTGCAACTTGACAGCACTTACAGACATACATAATCAGGTTGCAAGGCAAGACCTTCCTTGTCTAGGAGAAAATAACCCTTTTACCAGGATAGCTCTCCGGTCAGGAAAAAAAAATGGGTTCGTGTTCTAGGTTTCTAGAAGCCATAATCTGGCAATCAGCCACTGGATCTTCCCCCTTCCTTCCTCATAATTTAGCAAGACCTCTCTCCCATAGCTCAGTGAGAGTTGGGAGGGGTATTTGTGGGGGCCTGGGATGTGAGATTTCCTTGTATTTTGAACAGGAATGTTTGTATTAATTTCTCTACAATGTGAATGTTTTATGGATCTTTTTAATTTTGCAAATGTTGAGTGTTTATGTTCCCCCATTCTTCCCCTTTTTTTACATTTTGCCACTGACCAGGGCAGCTCCAACTAAATATAGGACAGCCCCCTCCCCTTCCCCTTCCTCCTTTGTCCAGACATTCCAGGGGCTATGAAATATAAATGCGGTAGAAGGATGGAGGAGGAATGGAAGCAGATGGGCAGATAAGAGGAGAAAACGTGGCAAGAGGCTCCATAATGCAGGCAGATGGATCAGAAGATAACCGCGTTCTTGGACAAGAAGTGAGTTGGATTCTAGGGAGCTCTCTGCATTCTTGTCCTCTCATTTCTCCCATGCATCGTGTCTGGTGTCTGTGGGAGAATGTGACTTTTTTGAGCAGCAGCCTTACCCAGAATGCCAAGGGACATGCAAGGACTCTCTTCTTCTCTAGGAGACCTTGCATGTGTTCTCTTGATCGACCTTCAGTGGTCCTCTTCTTCCTTAGCCTTCCAATGCAGATTTGTTGTTCTTCTGTGGTGGAGCCATAGATCAGCGAGACAGTATATGCTTTGAATGGACGAGTTTGACCTGGTATAAAAGTTGTTTTGTTTCTTTTGTGAGGGTTGTAGTTAGTGGAGCACATGGTTTGCATGAAGAAGATCCCAGGTTCAGTTGTGGTCATCTCCAGTTAAAGAGGTCTGGGGCAAAAGTATTGGGAAAGACTGTTTTGTGATTAAGACCATGGGGAGTGGCTGTGGCTCTGTGGTAGGCCTGCAGAAGGTCCCAGGTTCAACCCCTAGCACCTCCAGTTAAAAAGATCAGGTAATAGGTCTTGTGAGGACTGCTGCCCACTACTATTAAATGGGACAGCTCAGTATAAGCCAGTTTTCTTTGATCCAGTAAGCCGTACCCACACTTAAGCAAACTGAGGACATTTGTTTCCGAACTAGAGCATCTCAAAAGTGGCCTGAGAGCACTGATGTTAGGGTTCCTGTATTGGTCTTCCCAGGTGCTCCAGAGCTGGACCTTCAGCTGCTTCTGTTACTTTGATGACAAACAGCTTTGCCATCCTAAACCATAGCAGCTCCTCTCCTGTGACCCTGGAGCATTTCTTGTCAAACACTCCCATTGGAGCTGAGAAGTCCCTCCTGCCGCTCTGCAGCAGCTCCCAGCATTTCTGGCTCTGCTTTAACCCCCCCAAAATCTGAATGAATTGAATTTAATACACAAGGCAGTAGTATTGCATAATAAACCAGTATAAGTATAACCCCACCCCCAACATCTTGCACAGTAAAGAATGTGCTTCTGCAAAGGAAAGCTTGCGGGGGGAGGAGAGGTCAATTTACACAAATCAATTGGCACATTCACACATCATCTTGAGATAATGAGTGCCACAGTTCCATGAAGACTTTGGCATGTGGCGAAGGATCAGCACATCCAACCTGCTGGTTACTCCACCACTGTGCAGCCATCTTTAAGCAGCTCTCACCAGTGTGATAAATGTGAGTGCAGCAGATGAGATTAACGTGTTATTTCTCCCTCTACATGCTAAACTGTGGCCAGATTCACTAGACTTCATTCTCAACATGTTCATTTTCGTTATTTTGACTCTGTTGTGTTTCAGGTTTGTGAACACCTTCCTTTATGGAGTTCAGAGGGGGATACACGGGGTGGTCCCACATTAGTCCTGCATCCATGGTACATGATGGGTTTGCCCATGACTCAGTGGCCTGTATCCAGCCACATTCCAAATATTTAAGGGGGGAGCAGTTTTTGCAGATTCTACCCTCCCATTGTAGACCCGCATTATGCTGTTCTTTAGGGTCCACTGACCTCCCAGGTACAAAAGTGCAGGGGAATCCGTGGGAAAGGGGAATTGGCAGCGTCCCTTGAAATAAAACAGAAGTGCCCTCCAGTTGGGTAGAGGCCAGTAACTTGCTGCTGAACAAGGATTTGAATCCAGTTCTCTCTCGCCCAACACTGTTACCCCTTCTCGGCTGGATATTCTGTAGTTTTAAAGTCAGCACTTAATGGACATCAGAAAATTTATCTCGTTCATTTTTATCCTTCCCTTTGTCCAAGGGTCTCGTTCGAGCTTCTCCCTACCTCATTCTGATCTCAAAGCAACCCTGCGAGGTAGGTGAGACTGACAATGAGTGACTGGGCCGAGGTAGCCCAGTGAGCTTTGATGGCACCGTGGGGATTCACACTTGGGCTTGGACCTGGTGGCCGCAGTCCACACGCACTTCGCTCCAGCAGAGCTGCCTGCTTCCTCTGCCACTGGTGCTTCCATTTGTGCAAGGCGGAGAAAGGGCCGTGTTGTTCCACTTCCGGGAACTTAACCACTTTGCATTTTTTGGCATTTAGATTATTCCAAAGGGGTAGCCGACCTCAGCCTATTGTAGCAAAACAAAAGTCTAGATTTTAAGGTGCCCCTGGACTGCTGTTTTATTTTGCATCTAGGACTCGAGAGAGATGCTGAAGACCCTGTTGACTCCATTGCTTCTAGGCAGCCACAAAGGACTGTCAAGCAGCCTCGGTCTCCCCCCACCCCACCCTGTGTTGATAAAAACCATTCTTGGGCTTGTGAATGTAAACCCTCTCTCCTCCGCATCTCTGCCTGCTCCTCAGCTAATTGGGTTTGTGTGCATATGCTTCTGATTAACAAAATTTGCATTGTTAATTGCAACCCCAACGCAGGCCTACTCCCTGGTGAACCGCCAATGAGCCCCATGGGGTTAATTACTTCGAGGTGGGAGGGACTCGTGCTGCCTGCCTGTCATGTCCTGCTGGGATGAAACTTCCTTCTTTTGCTCTCCGTGGCGCCTCCCCTGCTGCCTGCCCTTCTTTCTCCCCCCACTTCCCCTCACCTAGGGGCAGAGGAACAGCTGTTGGCAGGCTTCATTAAGATAAAAGGAAATCATTTGGGGTTGTTTTTTTTCCCTGAGAGAAACCTTCAGGCATCTTTTACAACAAGACGGCAAAATGCTTCCAGCACAAATGTACAGCCCCACTGAAACATCATCCCTGCTGTGCGGTCACTGAGTTCATTTGTACTGATGCTACTCGGGTGGGGCTCCCTCCGCCTCAGCTTCCATTGTTTTATTTCTTATATTGAGATTGGCAGTGGCAGAAACACATTGTGATATTTTGGTTCTGGACTGGGCGTGGGGTGGGGTTAAGATCAACTCTAATGTCAAACAGCTGGATTTCAGCATCTGGGAATTGTTTCTTGAATGGAAGCCGGAGGTGGCACCTTTCTCTTTCTCCAGCTGCTGGGCACTTTTTGTTGGGCATTACCTTCCAGCCCTGAGAATTTAATGTTTTGGCAAGAAAGAGCAGAATTAGGGCCATAACCCATAAGAATGTTTTAAATGAGGTGACAGCACAAGCCCCTTGCTTTAAGTGTGACCAACAGAGGCTCAGGTTGCATGGATGCTGAAGTAGCCATTTCTCCCCATGCTCACATGGTATAAATGTGGAGAGTGGCCATAGCTGCACCCCTTCAGTGCACGGGGAATTGAAGCTGGTTTCCTCAAGCCTCTTTCCCATCTCCCAGCAAAGCTATGGCTGAGATTTGGAATTTTGAAGTGAGATCTCTATATTAGGTCTGTAGCCGGGATGCTGCCTGTGGGAACCCCGATCCTCCCACCTAGAACATTGATTCACCCCACCTACGACTTGGGGGGGGGGCAGCTTTCCCTCCACCCCTTTGTGATATTGTCATTTAAAAACAGATACTGTTTTCAAATAGAAATATTTCTGGTTTAAAAATAACCAGTGGCAGCTGGTACCCTCTGAAAGTGTGGAAGCGCTCCAAACTCCACCCTGTTCTGGCAGGCCAGGAATCTCTCCTGGTGGATTTGCCAAGATCCTTATATTTAAATGTT